GTTCTTATTTATGTTCCTATTCTAGAATATTGTTTCTCCAAACCTAGGTTCTTACAACTTATTTTTCATTGTGAAGGTTCCTCAAAAGAATAGTAAGATGTTCGAGATATCATACAGTTTACAGGTCTTCCTGTAATCAAGCAAAGGTAAACATTTTCTCTTTGCATATCTTTCGTATCTTAGCCATCTGATCTTTCATAGCTGAAACTTGTCCATTGTCTCTTCCATGTCTTTGTAAATAATGAGCAAATCTTATTGGATAGAAGTTGTAAATACTTTAATTATCTGTGCAGCTTTTAAGTGGTGTTTCATTTGCACCTTTTAAATCGGCCAGTTTTGTCCTTTCTAAGTGGATTCACTATAGCCATTCTACCTCCTTGTAACCTTGGTTAGCTCCATTAGGTCTTCATGATAATGCTTGAATGTCCCTACCTTGAATGAGATCAAAAAATAACAAGTTAGTTATACAATTCCATGTTATTTTTTAATCTCATCTTTTTCTATCTATACTTCGTATACTGGCGTATACAGAGATGTGGTTGATATCTGATAGGAGCTATGGTGGTGCAGTGGTTAGAGTGTAGTACTGCAGGCTACTTCTGCAGATCACCAGCTACCAGCCGTTTGGCAGTTCGGGTCTCACCAGGCTCAAGTTGACTCAGCCTTCCATCCTTCCGAGGTCGGTAAAATGAGGACCCAGATTGTTGAGAGCAATATGCTGACTCAAAACTGCTTAGAGCACTCTAAACCGTAAAGCACTGGGAAGTGGTATATAAATCTAAGTACTATTGCTATATGAAAAACATGAATATGCAGTGAAGCAGATAGCTACTGCTTGGTGATGCTATTGATAGGGTTACACTGGTTGTCAAAGTTGTACTAGCTTTTGGTGCATTTCCAAGTGCCATTCAAGGTACTGATTGCTACTTCTGAAAGGGAGCAATCAGCTTGGGGCTTGGCTATCTATAAAACCACCTTTTGTGCAGATGGCCAGAGTGGAGGAGGGGGACAGACAGTAGGCATTCTGTATGGGACTCTCCTGTGACAGACAAGGATGGGCTCTACTCTTGTGAACTTGAAGAAGCTGAGAAAAACCTAGTTCTTTGGAATGCCTTTGGGTACCGATTGTCAAGTCACTGGTGGTGGCTTTAGTTTTGATAGTGTATCATTTTCTATTTATAATTGTATAAATTTTATTATTGGTGTCTGGGCTGCCTAGAGCTGTCTGGATTGAGGAGGTGGAGTAAAGTCATAAAGAAAAAAAATCATTCATTCTACAGTTTGCATCTGGAAATGTCCTGGATGACAGGATTGTACTTCATCACCTGTCTCTTATTGTGCAGTCAATTTAATTTTGATATTGTATTCTTAGGAAATACCCTTATATAGAGTCTACAGTTATATTTCTTGAAACAGGTGTTTGCAATAAACAAGCAATTGTCTTCACAAAATTCTGTTATTCTATCTATTGCATTACTGTGTTTACACAATCCAAATCTTCGCACAAGTCTATGTTTCCCCATTCCTCCTTTTGGTTTGGTGCCTCCAGATTTACTGGTAAAAATCTGCAGACATATTTTGTTGTAACTGTTTTAGCCATATCCATACAATGTGTAATGTTCGTATATGTTCACGGTATGTGGGATGTTGGACTTGATGGCCTCATAGGTCCCTTCCAACTCTAAATCTATGTGTTTGTTTCACAATAATATTGTAGTTTGCCATTGCCTTTTCTGGGGTTGATTTTGAAGCTACTCAGCTGCATTTTGTTTCCTCTTGTAAACTGCTTCCCATTTGACTTTACCTGCAAAGCGGAATCTCTTGCTCCATGCAGCATTCCTTTCAGCCTCACTGAAGCTACCAAACTTCCCACCACATCAAGTGGGAGAAGAAGGTAATTGTCATTGTTTTTCCTTGTGACAATGGCTGCAGCATTGTATCCCAAGTTTACCTGTTCTTTATAAGTTGGTAGCTTCTTCATAAACATACCTAGGTGAGAATGGGGTGAGGTGTGTAGAAGGTGTTTGGTTAATGACACCAAAGGAAAGTGTAGATAGGCTAGGGGAGGCTGATTGTAATGCAAAAGTACTCCCAAGATCAGTGCCAAATGTTTGGATGGCAGGATCAGAAGGTTGAGTGATGTGTTGGTATTTGGCTTGGGGACCAGCAAAGAGTTGAGATTAGGTTAGTGGGTAGGTGTGAAATAGAGCAGGACAGACAAAGCAGTTATGGTGGTGATGGACAAGTAGAATAAGGCAAGGGAATAAGACTTTACTTGGGGAAAGTGAATTTGATGTTTGGTATTAATGCCACCTTCCAGGGCCTTTCAGAGAGGCGTTTGCCAGTTTCATGAGTGGCATTCATTGTAAATCAGGGTCAGGGTGGAAGGGTAGCTATAGTCCTCTGAGAAACTTCAGAGGCCCTGCTCCTGGGTATGAAGCCTTGCTTGTCAAACGGCATTCCCAGCTCTGCCATCCAATATTTTGCTGGTATTCCTGTCCATGGTATGTATTGCTGAAGTCCACTGCTTCACCCTTGGTTCATATGGGACTGGCTTCAGCTCCTCCTGCAGAGAGGAATCATGCCGAAAGGGACTTTGATGTGGATTCTGACCATATGTCTCTTGGATCATTCACTTATCAAAGCTTCTACAGAAACTTGGTGATACCACCGTTTCTTTTACCAGCACAGCTCCAGTCTCCACCCATGTTTTGGAACAGCCTTCCCTAGCCTGGCTTATCTCTAGGCATGTTGGCTTACAACAAAGAATGTTTCTCGTCTGTTAACAGCCAGGCTGGGAATGACTGAAGTTGGATTTGATTGGACTCAAAATAAATGTTTGTGCCACTTGAGATAATTGAACAGATGCCTTTAATAGGCATGTTCTAAGTAGCACCAACTTAGCTGGAAGCAGCATTCAAAACTAATGGTTTTACTATTTATTTTAATCAAATTGTGTGTCTTCACATAACAAAGCAGTCTAACCTTATGCGGCATGTAGTTGCCGAAATGTCTAGGGAGATTCTCAGTCACCCAGGTCATGATTGTCCCAAAGGTGCTTTTTCAAGAGGCAACTGGACTTTCTGGTTTTTCTTTGAAGACATTTTACTTCTGAAGGAGTGAAACGTCTTCAAAGAAAAACCGGAAAGTCCACTTGCCTCTTGAAAAAGCACCTTTGGGACATGAGTTGCCTAGTCGTTGGTTCAGCTCTGTATGCCTTGTCAAGATCTGGGCAGGCCACAAACAGTCCCTAAGTTTCTCCCCTTCTCAAGAGATGGCCCACTACAAGCATGACCTCCCTTCTACCTTTTGCAACCCAAGAGAGAAATTCCAGGCGGATAGACGAAGGGCCCGGTCTCCGATTCCTCTGGCTCAGGTTTTGGACCCAAAGGAAGATGCTGGCCAGCGTTTGGCGCGCTTCCTTTTACCAGGAGGCATGAAACAAGCGGGAAAGGGGAAAGCTGGGACGGATGGCGCTGCGTCCTCGCCTCCTCTTCCCTAGAGCTTCCTCCCCGGGCGGGTGGGGGGAACGGACCGTCGGCCTGCAACCTCCAGGGGGCGCAGGGCCGGTCGGAGGCGGCGGCGGCGGCGGCGGCGCTGCTTCTGTTTGGTTCGTGCCCGCGCAGCTGCGTGGGAAAAAGGAAAAAACAGGTGAGGCGGGTCTCCCAGGGAGAGGCGGCTCTCTTGCCGCAGAGAGGCGGCCTTGCCCTGCGAGACCGGGGCCCTTCTCCCGTTCCCGCTTTGGGGCTTTTCGCAGCCTTTCGGCTTTCCCACCCAGCATCCTCGGGAAGGAGCAGGAGGAGGTCAGTAAAAAGGGGAAAAAAGGAGGGGGGAGGGGGAACAAATAAAACCAAACGGGGAGGGGGCGCATCTGGAGGAGGGGAAAACTGGGACGCTGCAAGCCTCCCGGTCTTGGCGGGGGAGGCGAGCGAGTTGCACGGCCAAAGCCCCATCTGTTTCCAGTAGACGATGCCCGGGCGCCTTAAACGCGCGTTTTGCACTCGGGGTTGTTCGGGCGTCCTCGTGCTTTCCCTAAAACTATGAAGGATCCCAGCCGGGGCGGGTCCGCGCGGAAGAAGCCAGCCGCTTGGAGTTGAGGGGGGGGGGGGGGGGGGGGGGGGGGGGGGGGGGGGGGGGGGGGGGCGGGGGGGGGGGGGGGGGGGGCTTCTGCTTTTCGTCTCCGAGGCGAGACCAACTTCTGCTTCAGAACTACTCCGCCTCGGGAGGAAGTCAAGAGGCAGCTTCTCTCAAAAGAGGTATGTTGGGGGGCGGGGAGGGGGGGAGAAGAGTGCCGTTTCCCCTTCCTTTGCAGCTCCCGTCCAGTGGGGAACGCAGGGCGCTGGGTTCCAGCAGGGCTTACTTCGGAATAACCCCGAATAGGATAAGATTGTCTGCTTGTGCCGCCTTTGGGGCGTTGGAACTTTCGCTCGTCTGTTGCAAAGTCTTGCCAGAACTCTGCTGGACTATAATAAGGTCTGCTACCCTCAGCGCCACCCTTGTCCCCCTCAATAATCGGGGAAGGGGGGGGGGGGAGCAGCTAAGTGCCCTCCTGATACCTTTACCTTTTTTCAGAAAGAGGCGGGTTTTTTTGCTCAGACCAGTACAAGTTTATTCTGGGTGGGGGCTGTTTGGTTGCTCCGAGCCGGTGTGTAGCTTGGGACTCTTGAAAACAGCTTGTGGAGAAGGTGGCTCTGCCTGGCTTTCTGGGACTTTAACCAGGGGTCTCCACACCTTGGCAGCTTTAAGCCTGGAGGACTTCAACTCCCAGAATTCCCCAGCCAGCTTTGGGAGTTGGTCCTCCAGGCTTAAAGTGGCCAAGGTGGGAGACCCCTGACTTAAACCATCAGCCTGCTTCACACATTGTCTAAGCCACTGTGTGATTTAGCCTTAGCTTGTTTGTGTACAATCCAGCCTCAATGACTTTTGAAGTCTCTCTGGAAGCAGACTGGGCTTCTCGACCACGGGGAATCTGGGGAGGAAAAATGATCCCTTTCTTGGCCTTTCTCACTTGGTAACCTTTTGATGTGGGCAAAAGTGGTGGGTTGACAACTATTCCACCCTTTGTTGGCTGGACATTCTGGCAGCTTGTAATCCAATATATTGGGAAGGCTTGGAAAAAGCTGGTTAAGCTGGAGACACAGAAGAAAAACAAACTACAACTGGGAAAATTTCAGTGGCTTTTTTAATGCTGCTTGAATCCCAAACCATGTTTATTAAAATCAGAAGGGGAGGGGCAGGTGCTTTTGAGTTTGTGCACAAATTCTTGAATTGCTTCTAAGGAAAAATTCAAGCACACACAAAACCCTCCTTTCCACCATGTAGAGTTATGTAACTGGGTGGTGCTCTTCAGAGCTAGTCTGCCTGTTTTGAAAAAGGTGCTCCTGTCTTAGTGGTGATATTTTTTTAAAAAAATTAATCGAATGGCACTCAAATCTGCCTGTTGCCATATAAACTTGGGTGGCTGTGGAGATTATGAAAGAAAGCTGCAGCTGATGTTTCTCCTCCACCTTCTGCTTATATTACCAATAAATAATATACTTTGAACACCTTCAAAGAATAGCATTCGCCTATCCCAGAGGACCTTGGGAAAAACCCCTCATAGGTGGGTAAAAATGCCAAATCTAGTCTAGACATTTGACTGATTGGGTGACCAGACATAATAACAACAATAATACCCTTCCCCCCCACTCTAATAGTAATAGAAGTGGCACAGGGAGGATTATTATTCAAAAAGCAGAAAGCTGTTCCATTGTCAATGACATGGTAGAGCATGAGACTGGGAGAATGTGCTGACTTTGGTTCTGGGTGTGCTTGCTTTTTAATTCAGTTAAAGGGATCGCCCCCATTTTTTGCTCCGGTGGTTCAGTTTTATAAAACAGACTTTTCTGCTCCACGGTTTTTGGGATTTAAGTCTACTACCTAAGCCATCTCCTCAAGTAGGCTAGGACTGCAGCTTTCCAAATTGCCAGTGGAGCTTTCGAGAAAGGTGGATGAGGCCAACAGAACGATATTAAATTGGCCCAGAGAAAAACAAAAGTTGAGGATGGAAGCAGTGGAAGTCAAAATTCAACTCATCTGGGAAAGACCCTTGTTGATTTTTCCCAATCATGCAAGTACATCATGCAAGAAACCAAAAGTATGCTTTAATGTTATTCATTTTATCATTTATTTTTGATCCTTTATTATTTTTACAAATAACTCAAAACAGTGAACATACCTAATCTTCCTTCCTCCTCCCATTTTCCAAAACAACAACCCTGTGAGGTGGGTTGGACTGAGAGGGACTCACCCAAAGTTCCCCAGCCAGATTTTATACCTAAAGCTGGAGTAGAACCTAGTTATTATACTGCATTGATGAGAAGGTGCTAGAGAATCCCAAGGAATTTCAGAAAGGGAAACCAATCTTGGGTTTCCTAACAAATTATTAGTGATACAGAATAATCTTCTGTGGGTAGAATATAACATGACATCATAAAAAATATGATGTAGATCTTTAAAAAAATCTTAGAAAAATCACAGCACGTTTCAAAGCACTGAACTAACACTTTCTTCTTAATACGCTAGTTCTCCATCTGTAGGACAGAATGTAGTGTGTTTTCTTCTTTGTATACTAGTCCTCCATGTGTAGGACAGAACGTAGCATGCTCAAACCATGTTCAAGGGCCGGAGAAAGTTTGTACAGATTGTACCACTGATTCTCAGCTCCTTGCATCTTGCCTTCCACCTGTCACTGTGATCAAAGAACCTGGATCTTGGTAGAAATCTGAGAAACTGGTACTTCCATGGGATTAGCCAGCCCCACCTGTGCAGGTAGAAGGGGCATGCTGCAGTGCAGACCCAGTCAGCCAAGGAATCTCAGCTGATGGGGTCCAGAAGAGCCTTTTCTATCATGGCTCCTGCTCTCTGCAGTAGATCTGACCCATTCCAGGTCAGATCTATTCCCATCCTTTTGGCTTTCCGAAAGGCCTTGGTCATGGCTATGCCAACTAGTCTGTCGCCCCAATGGGGTGTGGCACATTGGCACCTGCACCCTGCGTGCACTTTGCTCCCCCCTCCATTCTCCTTAGTTTTATTTTTACTGACTTTTTAAATTTAAGACCTTTAGTTATTGTTTGAATGTTTTATGCTGCATTCTATGCAATATCTGCAAGCTGCCTAGAGACGCCTTTGCTGGGATACAAGCTGGACAGACAAACAAACAAACGAATGAATGAAAGTTAGTTCATTTTCCTCCAAATATACATACATGTTTAAGCATCCTGTTGTTATGTTATCCTTTACAGCAAGCTTTCAAGAGTTGATTCGAGTTTCAATTCTTTACCTTGTGGCTCACCTGAACTGTTTCTGAGTCTTTCAGTGAGATGCGTGCTGTTAATTAACAACCACTGGTGTACATAACAAGGTTGGTGTTTTCCAGATGAGCTTTACCAGAACCTTCAGTGTCCTTGGTCTTTGAATATTCTGTTTGGAGCATGTAAGATTTGACCCCAAGCTAGCTGCCATTCACCCCTTCATGGGGCTGCCGGTCTGAGCCAATTTTCGACTATTTTACCTGATTATTTCAATTCACACCTACAGTGATAGGCTTTAAAGATCTTTGCTGGTTCTTTTCTTGTGTTTCCTTTTTCTTGGGAAGTGCCGCTGAGTTCAAATTAAAACAAACAAGTGAATGTGATTAGGATCATGGGAATGAATCAAGGCTTGTGCAAACATGTATGGCTATATTGTGGCAAGCTTTTAGCTCCCTGCAGCCTTGTTTAGAATGGGACGTTATGAATCAACTCTCTTTTATTTTTTTCCCCTAACCTCTTCTAGATAGTGTCTTTTGTTACAGCTGTTTTGTTAGGAGGTTGCCAATTGAGCAAATACAGGCAGGCAAGGAGGAAAATCTGTGGCGTGCAGGGTTTTCACATCTAAAAGATATTGCAGTCCCTGTTTTATACTGAGAGGTTGTCACCTTTAGAGCCCTTCATGGCTTAGACGTGGATTCCCTGAAGGTCCATCTTGTTGTCATTTCTACCTGCCCAGTTTGGTCAGGCAGGTTGGGTCTGCTGCGGGTCCCATCAGCTAAGGAGTGTTGGCTGGCAGGATCTAGGAGAGGTGCTTTCTCAGCCTTATTTCTGCCCTCAGGGAACCTTCTTCCTTCAGATATTAGCATAATGACCCTTAGCCTGCTCACCTTTTGCAACATCATGGAGCCTTCTGTCAGGTTTCCAAGTGATGAAATCCATTTAAAAAGAAAAGAACAAAGTCCATCTTCCAAGACAATTTCTTTTATTTAGGAAAGCATCAAATTGGCAAAGTCCGTGGTAATTCCAGATCTGACACAACTCAAAATTACCCCACAATATTAGAAGTTAGAAACAACCCCCAAAAGTCACATTCTCCAATAGAAGTAATTCAACATTGCTTGATGTCATAAATCTCCACCTCAAGGGGCCTAAGTATAACAGCTTGTTTTCCCACGGGAAGAAGAATCACTTCTAAACGACTCTCTCTATCTCCATTCCTCCCCCCTTAGGAATGTGGCAAGCCCGGAAACCCTTCCCCCATAACTGCCAAAGAGAAAGTAAGAAAAAAGAATATATACTAAGCCTAACTAAAATGGCTACCCATAGATCAATTTTGGGCTTGACAGGCTGCCCTCCCTCATTTGAAAAGAAACCCCTGCAACGACATAAAATACACAATTGACCCCTAGGTCAATTTCGGGCTTGATAACTTCTTTGTGTGTCCAGGCCTGGGGCTCCTTTTCCTGGCTCTATGACCATCCATAGTAACAGTTTTACTTGGTGCTGAGTATATTTGTTTGCTATTGTTTTAATTGCTTTTATGTTTTACCACCTGAAGTCACTTGCTGAGATGCTGGCTGTAGATCAAGAAAGATCCCAAGTAGAAAGAAACAAATAGCAGATGATGGGAGAGACCAAGCCCCATGTATCAGCATTGATGGCCCTGGCACCTTCTGGACACATGAGGACCACACCTCTCTGAGTCAACCCAGGTTGTGTTCATAGGACAGGCCTGGCTACCTGATTTTCAGTTTCCGTGTAAAAATGGGGTCATGGAGTAGTCAAAGCTGCTTGATTTGCTTGGCACACAAAGCTACAAGAAGCCGAACGTTTCTTGTACTGTTAATATTGCCCTCCAGTTGTTATCGAAACCAGCTTACCAGATCCAGTCAGACAAGACGGGAGGTAACACTTATAAAGTTTTAGCACGAAGGGCCATTGTGTCTGCTGAGCCCTTCTCAACCTGGTTAAAGTCTGACCTGCATGGGCGTTAACTGATGCTGATCGGCTTTGACCAGTTTTTTCCAGTGTACCAAGAAAGAAGGAAGGTGAATTTCTGAAGAATCCGAGGGAGGAATTATGCAAAATACATTCCACGTCTTTTTCTGAGCGTGTGAAGCAAAGAATGGGAACATTTTATAACAACCAGAAGGCGCCATTAACTGTGCAGAAAACATTCAACTGCACATTCACTGATTTTCAGTGCGTAGATTTTCTTGCTGGGGGAAAAAAACCAAAAACAAAATAGATTTGTTAGGACCTGTTTAAACCCATCCAGAAAACTGAGTTCCTGACTCTCAAATAACCTCCTTGCAATACCAGATCCAGCCAGGGGCTCTCCAAGAAACTAGATAAAAAAGAAATGAAATAAAAGGACACACACACACATCCGAACCACTCGATAGTGAGATGGGTTGCACATAAATAAAACAAAATAAAACAAAGCGCAGCCCCGGTCCACCAAAGACCCCAATCTTAGCTATGGATTTTAATCACCAAAGACACAAGTGAATTTCCCTTGGCTGCGCTTGCTGGATTCAGAGTAGACTTTGGGGTTATTTTTCCTTTTAATGTGTTGCAAGACCGTCTCTGTTATTTCATGAAGCGCTCAGTCAGATGAAGGATTGGCTTGAGCACTGAATTAGCCATCTCTGGCAGGAGATGAAAAGCCGCCTTTGAAACTGGAAAGCAGGGGCGACATTTCCAGGGAGACTAAGGCTGATTGTTGTTTTGTTCAAAGGGAAATCAAAACCAGGGATTTTTTAAATAAATAAAAAAATACCCTAATTATTTCATTGGAAAAATATTCTATTTTTTTTTTTTTTTTGTCAAAAATACAACTTCCTTTAGAGGTCTTTCATGTAGCTAATTTTACATTCAGAACACTTAAGATATCCTGTCCCGTGTGTTGGCTATTAAATCATCCTAAAGTTTGCTGGTGTGGATTTGGACAAATAGAAACCCAAAGTATATTTTTCAACAACACCTACTCAGGAGTTAAGGTGCAGATATCCTATTTCCGATTATGCAGGTTCCATTTTCAGCTGCCATATAAATAAACGCCTCCAAACCAGTGGTGGGATTCAAATTTTTTTACTACTGGTTCTGTGGGCTTGGCTTGGTGGGCCTGGCAGGGGAAGGATACTGTAAAATCTCCAGTCAGAGGCAGTATTTGCCGGATCTCTGAACTACTCAAAATTTCTGCTACCGGTTCTCCAGAACTGGTCAGAACCTGCTGAATGTCACCTCTGCTCCAAATTGAATCCGTAGACCTCGCCAGAGTTGGTATTCAACAGGTTCTGACCAGTTC